TCGCTTTACAGACAAAGCATTGGGACGCAACCGTAAACTCCCTTTGATAGTGAGGTAAGGAATTGATTCGCCACACCCAGAGACCTTGAACAACGAATCCCTGAGATTGTGGTGTATGGACGATCAATCGGGTCGGGTCCATCCATCCACTTGGCTACCAGGACTGTGCTGTGCCAGTGATTCGGTCCAACGCATACGCACACAGAGATTTCTGGACGAACCCTACATAAAGTTAGGTCTCAAAACCTTAAACCCCAAACCATCCATACTCAAGTATTCTTAATCTTCTTTTCCATGAGTGGTAGCAATTTCTGTGATGCTTACTTCCTGCTGGCGGAGCACTGAGCGAATAAGGTTCAGAGTTTGGGGGTTCAGGGGTTCAGGATGTTGAGCATAGGGTGGCGAAGCTCCACGACAAATCCGTTCATTTTTTAGAATTCATGCTGTTGGGGTTGGATGGTCCAATGTGTTGATTGTTTTGGGTTTCTGACGACTTCCGAGTCTCTCCCGACCCTCCTTTGGTGACAAATACAGGCCCTAAACCCTCGGCCGAATTTCTCAGAAATTCTCAGGTGAGTTCACCCGAACAACGTCACAATCTAGCGCAGATCCTAGCAGGACACAAAAAGCAAGGATCCATCAACACAAGTTCTTGTATAGATGATTAACGAGTACACTCAGGATTTATAGAATGTGTGCCATCACCATGAACGGAATCGAATGGCGACCAACCAGAGCCCTATGCTCATGGCATATGAGGGGCGGCCTGTAAAACAACCATGTCGGGCCTCAACCCAATCTTTTTTGGAACAGGACAGCAGTGAGAGCCGTTGTGCTGCAAAGCCCGCTGCTCTCGATCTACCGGGTGGCATTTTCCTCAAGGTTGGCATCCCAAATTGCCCTCCAATCCCGAAACCCTCAACCTACAGCAGGTGCCATCCATCAATAGGTGATGCCTCCACCTGTAAGAAAGGATCCCAAATGCCAGGGTCTTCATGCATTGAATTGTACCAGGAGCTGGAAGCTTGAGGTCGTAGTAGCATAGCATGAAGCAACAGGTGGGGTGACATGTATGGCATGTATGGTAAGACCTGAACCTTAAGCACTAAACAAACAAAGTCATAGGTAGATAGATAAACACGTACATGCAATATTTTCGGAGAGTGCAAAAGAGGCATCGGGTTTCTGTTGAGCGCGCAGGAAGGTTTCAGTCCTCGGTGAATATGGATAGAAATTGGCAACCTGAGTTCCGCAGTACTAGTCATAGCTTTGCGCGATTGTTTCCAATCATCAGGTTGTTGCAAAGTCCTTCCTTCTGTCCTCTATTATCAGTTAGGGGTTTAGGGTTTAGGGTTCGTGCGAAGCCTCTACTTCATCCGAGAAGCGGCACAGCACAGTCCGGATTCTCCGATGCTAGCAGGGAGCTGCAGCCAGCCAATACGCGCACAGCTGCCGCACGCAACTTCGAACCCTTCAAAACCTTGATCAGCCCTCAAGGGAGCTTAACAGCTTAACCACCTCTCCCTTCTCGAAACCTATAAGCACCAGACCCGGAAATATAAACCGTCCTGTTTGTTCTGTGTTGCTTTCCAGTTTCACGCTGCCTGGCGACATGTTCCCTAACGTGGACAGAATAGGCAGCTCGGCAGAAGTCCTAACTTAGTTTAGGGTTTGGGAAGAATAAGTTAAGGGCATCTAAGTTTAGCAGCAGGTTGTGAGGACACTATCATGCGGGTTTTGGGCTGCGTGGTGCACCTGCTTCTGAAGTTGACAGGAAGCATACTCCTCGAACTGTGAGACCGGTACAATCGGTACGCAGTCTGGGCGCAATAGTGATTTTCATGGTAGTGTCGTTCGTATTAGTACTGATTACCATGGCAGCTTTAGTAGTAGTAGTAGTAGTAATAATAATAGTAGTAGTAGCAGGAGGAGTAGTAGTAGCAGGAGTAGTAGTAGTAGTAGTAGTAGGAGGAGGAGGAGGAGTAGTAGTAGTAGCAGCAGGAGGAGTAGTAGTAGCAGGAGGAGTAGTAGTAGTAGTAGTAGTAGTACAATCATTGTAATAGCAAGGCTAAGCTGTCCCACTTGACATCCGGAGATCCGAGATGACTTGATTTAATTAGCCGTGCTAAGTTTCTGCTGTCCACTTTGCAAATACATGCGTTGTGTACATTCCTCAGCCCTGAATTATTCGGAAGCTTCCATAAATAGAGCCCCCACAATACAATCATCCTCATTATTTATAGGTACCCCTAAGAAGAATCCCTAAGTTGAGAAAACTCCCAAATTTCCTGCTCGAGATGTTTCCCATAATTTCGATTACTATGAGTATTTTATAATCAGCATTCTCATTTTTATTATTACTATTATGAACCCTAGGCCGTGAGCTGCCGTATCTGACCTCGAAGCCTTTCAGCTAAGGTCAGGTGAAGTGCCCTGTGTACATTGTGGGAGCCTCTGGGTTCTGCAGCCTTTAGGGTTTAGGGTTTAGGGGTCCAGGGGTTTAGGGTCTAGGTTACAATCGTGGGGAATCAAATGGAGAAGAGAACTGAACATTACAGGGGCACGGGGGTTGTATAGGGGGTTTGGGGTGAAGTCAAGCGTGTTGGTTGTGGGTTTGTGCTCAAGCGTGTCAGTGGATGTCAGTTTACTCTGTCAACGTGGTTATTGCCATGGCTTTGTCTGGAAAAAAAGGTCTCCTGTCTTGTGGGGTTCTTATTTGATTTAGTCAGGATGCTTGTACGCTTTATTGCAGAAGGAGTACCCTTAGTTCGAGACGTGACATGGCCCAACGTCCGCTGGCCTCAGGTGCATGGAACACAGGACTCCGGTTGCTTGTGCCAGTCCTTGTGCCGCAATCGTTGTGGGTGGCAGTGCAGCGGTAGTTTGGGCTACCGCGCGTCCTTGGTCTAGCATTCGGGCATTCAGTATGGTGGCTACTTGGGCTGCCTACCAAATGTCCCAGACTCGCAGCGCGAGGGTACTGTGGAACGTGGCTCTACTTTCCACCTAAAGCTCCACTGCGCTCTAGATGGTGCAATGCTGCAGGACGAAATCATTCCGTCATCCCACGCGGAGGATTTAGTTCGCAATTGCCGAGAGGCTGTGTGTGCATTTCCTTCCTGGTGGTTAGTAGGGAAGTGATACAGGGCAATGGTACCTTATTTAATCACCAAAAATTGATTTTACCGGGTTTCGTAGGAAATAAGGGAATGCATTATGTAGGGATTACATAGGGATGATATTCCCCGGTTCCTGGCTAACCACCAGTAAATTATTTAGCGTAGCAGCTTCTTTTTCATTTGTCATTCCTTTGTTGCCTGTAGCAAGTTTCAGGAATGGTTTACACCAAGCAGCCAGAACTTTTTCTTTTGCTGTCTGTTTTGGGTTTGGGTTTGGGTTTAGGGGGTTTTGGGCGCGGAATCTTGGGCTTGGGTCAAGGAAATCTCTGAGTTCTGATGCTGAAACATGCAGCAAGCTCGCATAGGCTAATGATGAGAAGAGAGCTGGGGGTGCAGGTCACAAGATTTGGCGTTGAAGGCTACTATCCACTTATTTGGGTTAACACTTTCACATCGTGTCTGAAAGTTGTATCCCAAATGTTAAGACTCACCCTCGGTAGTTCCCTGTACATTCTTATCCCTTCTTTCTGCTTTCTGCAGGGAATCGCTTATCCGCCCTACTTGGTCGAGAACGGCGGCCACAACAATCTGGAACTCATCGCTCGGCAGCCTTTCTACGACAACTTCACAAAATTCCTGCAGTGGTCCGGAGCTTACTCACAAGTTACTTAAAAAAACAATGCGCCCAGGGTGAGTACACCGTATTCATCAGAGTACCCTTCAAGACCCCATTCGCCTCAGTTGGAGTATCACGGACCCAGAGACTTTGTAATACAGTGGCCGGTCATAGTCAGAGCCACCAGAAGCAGAAGCCTCGCAAGACATGAGGTGTTCTGGAGTGGTTATCATCCTCAGCTTCTGCCATGTTTCGTATTTTTTGCAGTTTCCCCAGAAACCTTGACTTCCAAGAAAGCTCAAGAGGCCTGAAATCTGTGAATGCGTGAGCACACGTTGTACCCTGGGAACCTCGCACAAAGATCACCCTCTGGCAAGCCACGGTTTCCCTTGTAATCTCACTGCTACAGGGTGTTTTCTCTGTTGAGGGATCCCAGGAAGCCTGTGATATCTGTGAACCCTCTTCCCTACAATGACGTCTATGCACTAGACCTTACGCCTTACCCCATGAATCCCGAACTCTACCGCAGCACCCTGAATTTGAATCCCTACTCCCTGAACCCTCAATCCATGCAGCCCGAGACTTAAGCTGACGGAAGGTTAGAAAAGAGTGAGATATCCGATGAGCTGCACCAGCATGCACTGTCGGCTGAGCTTTGAGGAGGTCAAGACTATTCTTATGGCTATAGTATACCCTATTATACCATAGTAGTCTCCATTTTCTTTTCCACTATCCCTGTATTACCCTATATTATACCCTATTATACTATGATATAGCCCCATGTTACCCTATATTACCCCAATAGCTAAGGTTTATGCGAGAGATATTGTGGGATCTAGGGTGCAGGAGGGGATTCGCGTACTCGGGTGGAAAGAGTCAGGTGGGTTGAAGGGCTTGGGATTCGAGAACTTGGGGTGTAGGGCTTCTCCAAGCATTCAAGGGTCCATGTCGCCTTAGCTTGTTTTCTAGATCTTCATAGAGTTTTGGGGTGCAAAGCAGGAATCACCTGGGCTGTTCAGACTTGTTCGGCTTTATGAAGTTTGAGACTGTGCCTGGAGCAGTCCTTTGTAAATAGAGAAGGGAAACCAAAACCACAAAGCCAAGATCCTGAACTTGGAACCCTACATGCGAACCCCAAAACCCTTAACCCCTAAACCTTCAAATTCCTAAACCCAAGTTCAGTTACAGGAGGAGGATGCGTACTCAGGTCCCCGTAGATACTAGCAACTTGGGTACTGGGCTGGAGGACTTCAGACACGTAGGCTTGGGTGGTTGTAGGGTTGGGGTTTAGGGTTTAGGACTTGTTGAGAGGGGTGGGGGGGATGGGGTTGAGGCTATGCTTGAGAAACTTACGCCCTGGACCCTCAGGCCCAGAATGCATGGAAGTTTTATGCGGGCCAAAAGCAAAACACGAAACCTGTCGCACAATTCTTAGGACATGGGCCCTATACGATTTCTATAAACCCCAAACCCTGTCAACCCTGTAGAAGAAGAAGAAAAGAAGAAAGAAGGAAAGTAAGCAAGCGAGGAAGTAAGTAAGTAAGTAAGTAAGTAAGTAAAGGCCACCCCGTCCGCTTCAGTGGCATTCCTCGAAACTGGTAGACCTTCGACCCTGAACCCCAGATTCTGTAGCCTAAAGCCTAAACTGCTTGCACTCTATTCTTTTTAAGCCTGGCTTGAAGCAAGTGTGGGCCCTTTTTGACCTTTGCTTCGCATGGGTCTAAAGGATCCCATGTTGCTTCTGAAGCGTTTAGGCTTTTGGGGACCCTTAAGGGTACATATAAGGTATATAGTAGGCATATAAGGATCCCAGGGCTAAGGGTTCACACCAGGGCCCCATGGTTTCAACCTCAGATTTAGGGTTTAGGAAGCTTCGTTGCGTAAGGAAGCTCACTTGGTCAGGGGCCTGGAAGCCAAGGCTGATTGGTGTTCAGAAGTGACAGATGATAAGTGACAGATGATTAGGGTACATATTGGGGTTATATAGGGATAATGGAAAAGAAAATGAAAACTACTATAATGGGTTTAGGCACTAAGCTTGAAACCGATAGTTTCTGCTCCTATGAGTTCCTCAAAATGCCATTGCAATCTTTAGACTGCTGCATGTAACACACTTAACGGCCGCGCAAGTTTTCAACGGCTTTAATCCTAAACCCTGAACCCTGAACCCTGAAACCCTAAAACCCTACACCCTCAGAGCACCAGGTTGTAAAGGGCCCAACATGGCCCTGCAGTTAGCGAATTGACAGGGGCCCTGGTCTGAATTTTCAGGTTTGTCATGGCCTGAACAGGGATAGGTAGGGTTTAGGGTTTGGGGTTTAGGGTTTAAAAGGTTAGGGTTGAGGGACTTTAGCCCAATAATGGAGCATCATCTGGAAAGAACATTGAAAATGACGTTCAAACTGAGTTTGGGCCTTCTTCACAATGCATCCTTGTTTCGGATCTTTCTCGCTAAGAATATTTTTGGGGGGTGCAGGAAGCAAACCTAATTCCTACATATTCAAGATGCATGCAATGTAGGGTCGCTCCAGATGGTGTTTTGGATTCAATTTTCTACTAACATTATTATGATTGCGTCTTCAGGAGTGAGACGGGTTGATGCAGCGGGTTTTCAAAGATCCCGTTTTGGTGTGCCCTGTCGTGGAATTGTTTCGGAGAGGGAAAGTTGTGGACTACGCTGCCCCTTCGCTGGGCACCGTAGAGCACAACGACCCTCGACAGTCTATGCCCTATACTGATCCTAGCAGGAAATCTTGGTAAGCCTACAATGTATGCCCTGCGAAAACAGCTGCTGCCTAAGGGTGAACCCTAAACTATAGAGTTACCGCTATTATTGTCTGTATTTTGTCCGTATTGATGTCATTACTGCTCTTACCACTATTATTGTTACAATTTTTTTAATGTACATTATGCTGCCATTGATTCAGACCATGGCCCCTCACGTCACGGTTGCAATGAAAGCGCTGTGAGCTGATCACATGTCGTTCAGGAGCTTTTAAGTGCCCCTGGAGCTGTTAAGGAGCGGAGCCCGAAGTGGGAGTTAGTTGTAGGAGAATCAACGTTTCAGCTGGCCCTGAAATGATAATCGGGATGCGAACTTGGGCAATTGTATTTGCCCTAACTTGCACTTCTCCTACCTGGACCCTCCTAAAGCTGCAGTCATAGGGTTCATGGAGCAGACGGCAAACCAGGCCCCAACATCAGGTGTTGTTAAGCACTTGTGTAGCTTTTTGGGTTTAGGGTTTCTTCAGCTGACCTGTCCAGCTTGTGACCCTATGATGAAGGCATGCGCGTCTGTCCTGCTCTTGGACTGCGCAGATCTCTGGAAAGTCAACGGAGCATTCGTTCTTTCTTTGCATCGGTGAAAACAATGCAGAAACCCTAAGCCCTTAAAACAATGGAGAAGTTGCTTTGACAGGGTTCTTCTATTAGCACGGGGGATCCTTCCTTGCAGGCTCTTACTAGGTCCAATTATGTCAACGGTGTTCAGTAATAATTAGCCTCTTGCCTGAGCCATAGACCCCCCACCCCAGTAAAGATGAACATGCCCTCTGTTAGGTCATAGAATTACATGCGGAATATTGACCCGGTGGGGATCCCAATTTGTCTACTCCCTAAGCCCCATGGGTTCAGGGTTTGTACAGCTACAGGGTGGTTCTTGGGGACCTAACAAGATGCCTGGAGTTGTCATCCGGTCACCGGTTCTTGGTATTGTTCAGATGTCCACTACAGGGGCAGGGGCTTTTATTTATTTTGCCTTGCGGGTGCGGGAGGCTATCCGCATGACTACAGTTGTTCTTCGTCTTCATCAGCTAGGCAACTTACAACTAGCCTTGTAGCTTCTGGGGTGTATGACCGTGGTCTTCAGATCGTGCGACCCTGGTGCCACTCCAGTAGTCACTTACACGAAGAGCACGTGTGTCTGAACCATAGTCACCATGGTCCTGCATCATAGAATCCTTTGCTTTGAGGTAGAAACTGGCATTTGGAGCCCTACGTCTAGGGCCCACGGAGAGGGCTGATAGCTCCTATATTGGGGTAATATTGGGGTTATAGTGGGCAGTCTGAGAGCAAACTGCCGCGATTGGATGGTCCACGCAGCAGGCGCCTGGAGGATTAGAGCATTTCTTGTATGTCTCGCCATGAAGCATATTTGCCGCAGTAGCTTGGACATTGTCCTTCTACATGAGGGAAGGCGAGCAAAGAGAAAGTGATAACCCTTCCTATTTTTTTGAATCCATTCCTAGACCCTTACGCTTTAAAACTTGAACCTGGAACCCAACATTGCAATCCCGGACAGACCCTAACGACGCTGAAGCCTGAAAAGACTGAACGACCATAGACTTTAGCAGTCCCAAACCGCGGACTGGTTTGCTCCTCAGGGGAAGAGCGACGGTGTGAAGGCCAAGTGGTTCCAGAGTCTTGGACGCCGGTGCGCCAGAGAGTCTCTGCAACTCTCAAGCGTCAACCTCCTCTCCCAATAAAGCACAGAAACTGTTGACGAGAATGCTTGATTATAGAATGTCCACACTTGTGGTATCTGCGATGTTGCCCCTATCCTTCAAGATCATGAAGAATGTGGGGACCACAACATAGAGGAATCACCGACCTACCGATGTTTTCTCATAGTATTGCATAGTGTTTCTTTTCTCGGAGCTTGGGAGGCTGTGTCAGCGCTGAGCATGGATGCTTAGGTCTAGAACATCATGGAATCCATGCTTGCCTGAAGCAACAGTGATTTTGTGGAACTTTACGAAAAGAGTGTGATCGTTTGTTGTGTTTATTGCAGAGTGTCTTCTGTGTAAACCCTCAACCCTAAGCCCTAAGCCGCAATCAACGTGCCAGACATGCGTTCGTCTCTTTCACGCTCGGAAGCTTCAGGATTTGGTAGGAATGCAGCATGACACCCCTAATGGCCAACAACGGCCGAATCTATTGGTTCAATAATGGGAAATCAAATGAAAGAGAAGACGGACAATGACACGAAAGCTACTATTTAGGATTGTCCTGCCTCGTACTGATGTTTAG